TGAGTGACATGCTTCAAAAAGCTGTAAAACGGTATCTTTATAAACTTCGTGATTTCAAGGGGCAGCTGATGTATTCATGGGAATTCTTCTCGAAAGTCGCGCCAGACAATGACAACTGTCGGAGTCAAGTCGGAACTCACCATTTAAGGCTCACTGATTCTTAGTTACTTAAAAACATTTCATTTTTAAACTGTATAACGTTGAACGGCAAGCTGACAGATCTAAATGATTAGTTGGAAAAGTATGTGGATGAAGCGGTCGTGGCTTACTTTAACGCATGTGTAAGATTTGATGCTCTAACGGCGGTGAATACGAGATGTACAATCTTCTGTGACAAAATTCCGTGTAGGTTGGTTGATGTTTATCGACGTTTCGGAGGAACGTACATCTCCATCTTCAGGGTCGCAGTTCTCTGCTTCCATTCCTACCAGACTACATAACATCACAACCCTGACTCTGCCTGAGAAACTCACGAAAACCACGGGAACTGAATGGTAGCCGGTCGATTCGAGATGCGGCTTCTAACTGCTCTGCCAAGCCGTCAGTCACTTCCCACTGGGCAAGACGAAGGCCACACGAACGTCTTTTTTCAGCGCACGGACAGACGGCCAAAAAAAAAAAAAGGCGACAACACGTAGGAATATTCCACGGCCTTGCACATTTCGTTTCCTGTCACAACAATAAACTCATTCCCCATACATAAATGAGGGGCACGCGGTAGTGTAGTTGGTCGAGGCACTATGCTACAGGCCGAAAAGTCGCGGGTTCAAATCCCGATGAGGTCACTGGATTTTTTTCAACTGACCTAATCCTTCCAGCCGCACTATGGCCCTGGGGTCGACTCAGCCTCTAACGGAAATGAGTACCAGGAATGAATTAAATAATTTTCCTGGAGAGTAAAGCGCGGCCGGCGCTGACAACCTTACCGCCATCTTTGAGCCGATGGTCTAGATAATGTGGGACCCTCAACGCCTCACAACCCTATGGGCCTTTAGCTTTACTTTTTATTTTTATTGCTAGTGGGATGGGACTAAGTCCCTTGTACTGCGGCCATTTCTGACCTACTGTACCAGCCCCAGATGATAGGTGAGGGTGATTGTGGAGCAACTGGTGGAATGAAGATTGGCAGGGGAAACCGAAGTACTCGGAGAAAACCTGCCCCAGCGCCACTTTGTCCACCACAAATCCCACTTGACCAGACCCGGGATCGAACCCGGACCGCCGCGGTGGGAAGCCAACAACTAACCGCTTGAGCTATGGCGCGGCCTTTGGCTTTTCTTACTTTACTTTTACATACATAAAGGAGGATACGGGAAAGCTCAGTGGGTATAGCAACGGGCTACGGGCTGGACGGCCCGGGTTCGATTCCCAGCAGGGTCAAGACTTCTCTCTTCTCCACAGCATCCACACCAGCTCTAAGGACAATCCAGCGTCCTATCCATTGGGTATTGGGGGCTCTTTCCCTGGAGGTTAAGCGACCGGGGCGTGAAGCTAACCACTCGCTTCCATCTAATGCCAAGGTCAAAAATGGTGGAGCTGTATCTCTACTCCGCCATAGTGCTTACAGCAACAGCTTTACCTTACCTTTACGCAGACCCAGACGGGATTTCGTCGATGAAGTTTATCTGTGATTTTACGTCGAAGACAAAGACCAAGGACGTGAAAGTTCTATCCTTTAATTTGTGAAAGAAGAATTCAGACTGGAAAATCTTCATGTACTTCAATCACAATTGAAGTTTCATGGAAAACACTGTTCTACCGAATGTCCAACCAGTCTGTTTGCCACTTCAACAGTACATAAAATTCCCCACGTCACACTGTTGGAGCCTGACAGCATGCGTACGCGCAGAAAAAGATGTTATGGTTACACCATTCCGAGAAGACCAAAACTGGGGCACGATGTTTTTGAGAACAGCGCGGTTGGAAACACGGGAGAGGTTTTCACAAAAGAAACTGCTCCTGTGGCTTTAGCATAACACTTATCCTGGGCATGTCGCTATGAGAACAGAACGTCTCAGCACCACTCTGAGGAACTTCAAATCCTTGCCGCCTTATCCGAAGGTCATGATAGTGAAATCGTGGATAATTGTCACGTATTAGGGGTTGTGACAATTAGACGGGGTTCGGGTTAGATGACTGGCTTTATTGGCACCTTATATACATAACTCGGGAATATAGGCAATACAGCGCTATCGCTGATTTACAGGTTTTACAGCTGACCGTTATACACGCACTAGGATTCTCAGTCTTCACTAGCCGTATCCTAGCAACGGATGTATCACAGTCTCACTGTCACCTCAAATCACACATGAAGTCTTCATTGCACCGCCTAATTAATTTTTGCAATTATTCTGCCAACTCAATTCAATTCCTCTGCTCCCAAGCTCATAACCCGGCAGACTGGCGTCACGAAACTCTACTAACTCTTCTAAACTAAACTCTTATTTATAACCACTTTGCACGGACCACGCAGAAATCACAGCCTCTCTGTTGTTGAGAAGGCGTGATTCAGCGCCATTGCATATCTACGGAAGTTACTCGAATGCTGCTTGCGTATTCGTTGCCGCGGAAATGTGTTTACCGAGTCGTTGCCTAACAATGAACTTCTACTGTGACTTCACTATTCCTGCTTTCGGGCGTCATGTCACAATATAATGATACACAGCTAGGGAGAGAGTAGGAAGAAACTCGTACGCAAAGTTGGTGGAGACACGGGTAACGATAAATCTTATCTTACGCAGGAGATTAAAAATACTGATAAGTCAAATACTAAGACAGGTCTTAAGTTGCGAGGTGTTAAACGGAATTAGGTGTCATAAATGCTGAAACAAATAAAAAATAATAATAAAACTTCAGGACCTATATGGCCACAGTTCGACCCCAGGTTTCACATCCCTACAATTTATTAACTTAAAAAAAAATCTTCTGTTAAATGTGCTCTATGTGAGCTCCACTCGTGACACGACAAATGTCCAGCCTGTAGGCCGCGCCATAGCTCAAGCGGTTAGTCGCTGGCTTCCCACCGCGGCGGACCGAGTTCGATCCCGGGTCTGGTAAAGTGGGATTTGTGGTGGACAAAGTGGCGCTGGGGCGGGTTTTCTCCTAGTACTTCGGTTTCCCCTGCCAATCTTCATTCCACCAAATTCTCCATCATAATCACCCGGGGCAGGCTACAATAGGCCAATCAGTGGCCGCCATGCCGAGTGGACCCAGTTGGACTCCACCTTCCACTAAGCGAATTAAAAAAAAAGTCCAGTCTGTAACCCAGCTCATCCCATACTCCTAATATGTTCCTGTCAATTGTCTCGACATCTGCGGTAATTCTCGACTTCAATTCATCAATATCCAGTGGTAGAGGTGGCACAAACACTCGTTCCTTTACATAACCCCACAGAAAGAAGCCCCATGGAGTGAAAACGAGAGAGCGAGGAGTAAAGGCCTCGCAAAAGTTTTTTCCAGTTTAGGGCAATCCTCGGGTTCCAATTTTTTAAATCATGATAAATTTTTAAGGTTTCATACGAATCTGTGTGCGCAGAACTTGCCACACGCTCGTTTTTGGCATCTGTAAGTCACAGCTTCCCTTGGGCTTCAACTCAGAGGGGCGTCCGCCTGCTGCACAGCCTCCTCACTCACACGAGGACGGCCACTCCTTGTCTTCTTACAGATGCATCCCTGGTTTCCGAAGTTGTCACGCCACTTCTGTATCAATGCTTGAGGCGGATCCGTACGAAACAGTTTTCCGAAGACCCGCTGAACACTGTACTCAATCATGCAAAAGCTCTTCTCTCTGGAAGATGACATTTCTGAAAATTGCGGAGCCTGGCGGTAAAGATGTGTAATATGGTGTTACACCAATTTTGAAACCTCTTGAAAGCCTGACTATCTGCTGATATCGGTTATGTTATATAGCCACCTCGTATTTTATGCACGAAAGTGTATCAATTATTAAGAGCACCTTGTAAACAAATCAAGGAAGTGCCTCTTAGAAACGCCAAGGCTGTTCGGGCGTAAACGCAACTGCACAAAAGAACTAACAGTCTTTCTGCAGATTACCTTTAAGTACCACAGATGTAAGTGGCATTAAAGCCTGTCCTTTCCTCTAAAATCGGTATATAAGACTTGATGCCACCTACTGACAGATATACTTCACTGCGTGATTAACATATAGACGATCGTGGCTTGAAAGCCTGTCCTTTCCTCTAAAATCGGTATATAAGACTTGATGCCACCTACTGACAGATATACTTCACTGCGTGATTAACATATAGACGATCGTGGCTTGAAAGCCTGTCCTTTCCTCTAAAATCGGTATATAAGACTTGATGCCACCTACTGACAGATATACTTCACTGCGTGATTAACATATAGACGATCGTGGCTTGAAAGCCTGTCCTTTCCTCTAAAATCGGTATATAAGACTTGATGCCACCTACTGACAGATATACTTCACTGCGTGATTAACATATAGACGATCGTGGCTTGAAAGCCTGTCCTTTCCTCTAAAATCGGTATATAAGACTTGATGCCACCTACTGACAGATATACTTCACTGCGTGATTAACATATAGACGATCGTGGCTTGAAAGCCTGTCCTTTCCTCTAAAATCGGTATATAAGACTTGATGCCACCTACTGACAGATATACTTCACTGCGTGATTAACATATAGACGATCGTGGCTTGAAAGCCTGTCCTTTCCTCTAAAATCGGTATATAAGACTTGATGCCACCTACTGACAGATATACTTCACTGCGTGATTAACATATAGACGATCGTGGCTTGAAAGCCTGTCCTTTCCTCTAAAATCGGTATATAAGACTTGATGCCACCTACTGACAGATATACTTCACTGCGTGATTAACATACAGCCGATCGTGGCATAGGCTGTGGTAATTTTCACTCGAGTGTGCCCAGCCTATCTAACCTATTCGTGGCGTGCAAATTCCTTGACTTCACAGCGCCACCTCAAAACTCACAAACCATAATATTTATAAACTCACCTTTGGGTGACTTTGGCAGGAAGTTAAGGGTGCGGTCCTTCGCCCTTACGTGCTCTCCCGTTCCATCAATCCAAATATATGTCACCTGGAGCTTGTCCTCCGGTTGCGGGAGCCTAAGGTACTTCTCCAAGATCGTTTTGTCGAGCTTGGCGTTGGGTGAATGTCCCAGCGAATTCATGGCGCCGGCCTACGAACACAACAGCGTCTGAATGTACAGTATTATGACATAATGGGTTATGGCCGGAATAATGGAGCTAGAAAGACCGCCGCTGCTAGGCTATGACTCGATAGACGAGTTTCAGCAACAATGCAGAATTTTTTGGAGGAGGATGTTACATAAGGACTATAACCGCGAATTTTCAGTTGGAAAATAAAAATTACGGTCGTGGTCCTCAAGTAGCCCATAGGCAAGGCGAACTTACTGGCGGTTTAGTCTCTGACTAAGTCTCTGCGTAAGTTAGACATGATCAGCTCTGCAAAGCTTGTGCTGACAAGAGGGGTTGTATATAGTGCAAAGGAAACAATTTTCAACATACTGTAAGTGCCATACGCATATCTGACGAAAGGCCAATCACATTCGTACAAGACAACCTCATCTCCTCGTCAGATAGGATGTTACGTAAGGACTATTACCGCAAGGGTCAACTGGAAAAAAAAAGTCCCTAGTCATTACTCTCAAGGGGCTTATCGCCAAGACGAACTGACTGGCGATACACAGCCAGTCGTAAAGTAACTTTGACTTAATGTCAGTAGTAGCTGAGAGCCAACAATAGTCAGGAATACCTAGTGATGCCATAAGTTAGCTGTGAGATGGCAGCCATCCGGCAACGGCGTTAAGTAAGAGTGCAGAAGAATCATCCTTGGGAATCGCAACCTGGCAACGACTTGTGAAGACATGGAAGCTTTAATGTTCGAAGCAGTTCTTTGTAGTGTGTTACAGTTACTTGGAGCTATGAGTTATGAGTGTTCAACAACCCAAACCCCGTGTCTAGACACTAACGCGCGAAAATATTGTGGCGTGCCGCCAAAAAGCCAGGCTATAAGACGTCTACTGATAGGCAACGACTGCGATAAGAATTTATACTTCAGTGGAAACGCATACCAGCAGACCGTTGCATAGGAATCGCCAAGCAACAAACGCGTTTCCCCGAAAATGGAAGGATATCCATGGAAACGAATACTACCAGCGGATAAAACCGAACCCTTGAACATGGTGCGCCCTGTTCAGTCCGAGTGCACGTTATAAAAGTCCAGCTTTGACGAGACCAATCAGTTTTCAGTGTAGCTCCGACTAATCAGAAGAAGGCTCGCATCCGACATAGGACAGAAGACACTTCACCAAAATCAGCGGTGCAAGTAATTGTGATTAGTGAAGTTGTGAATAATTGTACTTGCGAGTGTAAAAGAAATATAAACGTCTTAGCCAAATCCGAGACCCGCGTGAATTTACAATTGTCGCGTTACATACGCAATACGCGACAATATATACTTTCAGGGGCCCTGTACATTGTAGGTGAACACCAGAGTCGCGGAAACTCGCTCGGGCTACACGTCTGTACTTTCGTGTATTGTACTGTCGAGACAGAAGCCGCTCACCCGTCTGAGGGTTGGCGCGCCCAATTTCAAAACAACAGAACCATACACGCACGGCAAAATTATTTATAATGTACATAAGCATATATGTATATTGTTTGGTGATGTGGAATGGACTGAGATGGTACCTTGACACATGTTATGAAGCTTTCCCCACCTGCAACATACACATTACCGGCACAGTCAAGTAAGAACGTAACTTACTCCATGTTGCTGAGCCCTTCTTGAGGAGCCGCCCGTCAGATACTCAAGTATTCCCTTATATTTTATCGAATCCGAATGTTCATTACCGTGATCACAAGAGACCTCCACTGGACCCTATCCTGAGTCAGATGAATCCAGTCCATAGCACCACATCCTATTCCTCTACGAATCCACCTTGAACTTATCCTCCCACCTATGTCTATGTCTTCCAAATGGTCTCTTTCCTTCTGGCTTTCCACCAAAACCTTATATGGATTTCTTTTTCTACCCATGCGTGCTACATGCCCTGTCCATCTCATCTTCATTTACTAGATCATTCTAATTACATTTGGTGAGGAGTATAAGAAGCTCTTCATTGTGCAATTTTCTCCAACCTTCCGTCACTTAATTTCTCTTAGGTACAAATATTCTCCACAGCACCCCGTTCTCAGATACCTTCAGTCCATTTCTTTCCTTAATGACAGAGATCAAGTTTCAAACCCATACAAAACTACAGCAAAATTATAGTTTTGCATATTTTAATTGTTATGTGTTTGCAGACAGCAGGCGAAAAGGAAAAAGCTTCCGGACTACAGGGTAGCAATATGCATTTAAATGAAGGGACAGCACTGTGAAGGCCGAACGAGGAAAAATGCCGTAGTGGTTGTGACCTACTTCAAGACGTCTCAGCATTTTCTGGGAGTGGGGGAAGGTGAAAAAACTATCTAGTCGTCATAGTTTGCGTTCTAGCCGCGAATCAATCTCAGAACTCAATAATACGAAGCAGGGGTGCTAACCAGTGATTCGTGACGTTTGTTTGAGAGCGGCCTCGTCAGGTTCCATGATTTCACCGTAGTTAACGCGCAGTGTGAGTTCAACGCCCCGGCTTCTCTCAGGCCCCGTCGCATGTTTGAAAGAGGTCAAGGCATCCTCGGCAACTGAGGCAGCTTTTAAAGATATCGATTTGGGGAAATCGATACGGGGCGCGACAGACATAGCTGTCAGTAAGCCGCACTTCAGGTATGAGCAACGTGGTTAACTCTTCATACCACAATGGTCACTAGATGTACCGCTTGTTCTAATATTCGGACAATAAGTTCTGGGAAGATATAATCACCTACTTTCCTGTGACACGGAAGGAATAGAAAACGAAAATATTATGGGGGATACACAGACAAAGAGTAAGGTGATCTCGTAAGCCCTCTTTTCCTCATTTTCAAACAAAAAGTCCTCGGAAGAACTACTCGTCTACCACCCATTATAAGACACGGATCGCATAGAAATCGAAAAAGGGGATACACAGCAAGGTGACCTCATAAGCCTATTAACAAAAACTTGGGGGGGGGGCAACAAGATTACCTTAGAAACCTAAAAAATTAAGGGGGATACACAGATGGACAGACAGACATGGATACACATACAGCAAAGTGATCTCATAGGCCTCCTCTTATTTTTTTTCGAAATTAGGAAATTATGCTAAAAGTAAAAGGAAGATCATGAAATCACCTTGCTGTTTGTGTCTGTGTATCTCACTAATTTTTTTCGTTTTCTGTGCGGTCCGTTTCGTATCAAACGAAAGTAAGCGATTAGTTCTTCCCAAAACTTCTTGCGTCAAAATAAGGAAAGTAGGCTAAAAACTCTACATTCTCCCCAGTGTGCATTCGTGTGTTTCAGGGAGGCGTTTAGACGCTGACTTTTCACGGAGGAGACTCGGGTTTGACCCTAGGTGACTTTCACATGTTCTCAAAACGGGGGCTCTGGTTCAGTCTCAGGTGGCTTCAAGCAAGATTCGTGGTGGAAGAAGAAGCATTGGAGCAGGTTATACACGGCGTTTCTTTGTATTTACCAAACTAAACACAATTCCACGAGGTGTCTGACAACCCTGACCAGGCAATCACATTTCTAAGCTTTAACTTGGGGGCTTCATTTCTGAGCCGGCGCTTGTCTCTTTATAGAATGGGAAGTTCTTTTAAGTATTATTCTCAGAATATACAGCGATTATTTCCGTAAATAACTTTAACCAGCTGGTCTTTGTAATGGAGATTAGTTGTTTTCTGTGAGGCAGAACATAAAAACATTATTTGAATGAATGTCAGGCTTCAAACGGTTAACTACACATTCAGCTACGATTGGAAGCCATTCAGCCTAGAACAGGCATATCCAACTCTTACGATACCAAGGGGCCGGTACTGGCACTGAACCACTTCAGTCGAAATCTTATCTTTCAAGGCGATTTCTCTGATTATACTGTCACGTGTATGAGTGACTATAGACGGGGTTTGGAGTGTTAATTGGATTACTGAACTCTTACAGATCGTAACTGCAAGTAACTATAGAGCTATCTTTAATTCACACACTATACATTTCGCAAAAACACGTAAAGCTTCTCAGTCTGCTTATCTTCACCGGCCGTCCTTGGTAACGGCTTGTAAAACCATATATCCCTCAACTTTCGTGACCACGTCCTTACTGGCCGGCGACTGTTTCACATTAACCAACATCTAGAATTGTCCTGCTTTAACCGGGCACGGACCACACAGAAAACACCTCACCCAACAGTTCTATTGTTGCGCCCCGGAGCTGTCCCAAGGACCGCGTAGAGAACAGCTCTTTCCAGTTGCTCTATTGATGCGTGTTATAAATGTGCTGCCTACTAATGGGAGTGTTTATAGAGCCGTTCCCTAGCAACGGCTGTCTCTGCTGGCTTCACAGTTCTTGCCTTGACCAAAAATGCCACAATACTCTCCTCCTGTCTACGCCCTGGCTATCCAAGTGCTCGTTTCCCTTGAGATTTTCCAACCCAAACTGCGCAAGCAAGCCCGTTTATCAATGCATGCTGCACACCTCACCTTCGGGTCCTACCTCCAAGAACATACGCCGCATCCTGTAACAGAGTTGTCGGTTAACAATGTTCAGGATAGGAAGGAATTTTTATACCAAGCACAAAAGGAATCCTGTAAATATACCATAAAAATGAAATCCCGGTGTCCCGGGACAGGCCATGAAGGCCTGTCACAGGGATACTCGTATCTTTACCTTTAAGCGTCTCATTAGGTGGCAGTCGGATGGGCATAGGCTAGGCCATTTTTTCATATGCATTTATTTTTTTCAAAATAAAAAAGTCTAGGTAGCAGATGCGCAGACTGGTTTCAGTAGTCAATATGGCGACCGTGTATGAGGACTGTGAGCAAAAGGACCCGATGCAAAGGATATTCATAAAGAAATGTTTCATGTTTACAGTGGGAAGCGTATGTTGCATAAAGCAGTTCACAACTGGGTCGAGAAATTCTCTCAATGGCGTTCGAAAGTTGCAGATCATGTCCGACCAGGTCGCCCTGTTGAGACTCCGACAGAAGCAAAGGCTCCTGTGCTGCTGGTTTAGACGCACTGGTAAAGTGATGGGCCAAGTGT